TTCCCTTGGGAACTGCTGGACTATGAAGATAGGAGGGTTTGCTCATCTGCAGAGGACCCCTGCTACATAAGCATTATCCCAGTCTGGCACAGACTGGCTGGTGCCCATCTTGCCTTCCAAGGACATGCAGGGAGTCTGGCTTGGGCTACAACCACAAATTATGCGGCTAGGGGAAGCTTCATCCTTGACAAATTCAGGGTCTCCTGCATGCTCTGGGTGCAGTGATTCTGGAAAATACGGCAACTCAAAAAGACAAATTCAGGGGACCCCTTTAACATCCCTTAACAGGGTGAATACTGTATGAGAAGACTGGAAGGGGCTGAATTATGAAGGGTTTTAAAGGTCAAACAGGATTTTGTATTTACTCTGGAGGTAGTAGGGAGTCATGCGAATTTATGAAAAGTTATATAGACATAGACTTGTACTCTAAGAGGAACGCTGATAGCTGAGTAGAGGATAGACTAGAATGGGGAGAGATTTGTGGCAGACAGACCAACCAGCAGGATATTATAATCAAGTATAAGGTAATGAGGGACCTATGCCAGGTAATAGGAGTGTTGGTGGTGCTTTTATGACAAAGGTAAAAATGATAGGACTGATTATATATGGGGAGTAAGAGAGTGAGGAATCCAGGATGACATGTGACTGGGAAGTACCCTTAATAATAATGGTAGAATTCAGAAGAGGGAAAGGTTTGAGAGAAAAGATACCTTTTTTTTTTTTTTTTTGGTGAGGCAATTGGGGTTAAGTGACTTGCCCAAGGTCACACAGCTAGTATGTGTCAAGTGTTTGGTCTGAGGCCGGTTTTGAACTCAGGTCCTCCTGACTTCAGGGCCAGTGCTCTATCCACTGCACCACCTAGCTGCCCCCAAGAAAAGATATCTTATGTAGTTATTTTGAATGTAATTTCTTTTTGCATCTCTTCTGCCTTTGTCAATAATATGCAGAAAAGCTGATTATTTTGACAAGTTTATTTTATACCTTGATACTTTATTGAAGTTATATCAATTTTTTTTAGTTGTTCATCTCTAGGATTCTCCAAGTAAACTATCATTATGTCTGAAAAGTGATAAATTTATATCTTCTTTGACTATACTTATTACCTTAAATTATTTTACTTGACTTATTGCAATAGCTGGCATTTCTAGAACTATACGAAATAAGTGTTGACAGTTTATATCCTTGCTTTATCCCTGATCTTATCAGAAAGGCCTCTAGTATTTCTCCATTCTAGATAATGCTCATTTTTGGCTTTAGATAGATACTATTTGCCATACTAAAGAAAGATCCATTTATTCCTGTTTAATGTTCCTGTTCCTTTTTCAGTGTTTTTAACATAAATGGGTATTACATTTTGTCAAAAAGCCTTTTTTCCTGAATCTATTGCCATCTTCATGTAATTTTAATTATTTTTCTTGCTAATATAGTCTGTTATGGTTATAGAAATTGAACTACCCCTTAGTTCTTGGTATAAATCCATCTTCCTCATAGTGTATAATTTAAAAAAAATGAGTTATGTTGTGGTAGTCTCTTTTCTAGGCTTTTTCCACATAAACTATTTTCAAGCCTTCCTATCTTTTCCTGTTCTGTAACAGGATACACATATACACACAAAACATATATACATACACATGTAGTACATATGTAGAAGTGAATGTATACAAATATATAGACATTATCCTAACATGTGGAAAGTGTAATTCCCTTCTCCCCCCTCCTCCCCTGCACTACTTCAGTCTCTTGGGAGGGGAAGAAGATTAGGTTCATAGTTTAGCTCAGTTCCACGATCAGCTAGTATATATTACCCTCTTTAAATAGGAAAGCAGGTTAGGATAGCATCACTTTTTAAAATGAACTTATCCTGGTGCTTAATGATCACCTCATTTCCAAAGACTCACAAAACTATGGATTCTTTCCTGTTAATAACTTGTTCTAAATTTTACCAGTAATAAAGATTTAGTCTTAGTAGTGTACCATCAACCAGCAAGTAAAGTTTGGATATGGTGAATTGGGTCTTCCTCCCTCTTCTGCTACCTCCATACTCGCCATATCTCCAGGATTCGTGCTAGCACCCAATACTCAGGATTTGATGCTACCATGTTCTCTTCACTGATATTTACCTTTGCATCAATCTTAGACCCAGGAATTCAGCTGACACATCAGGCCGATTAATCTGTGGCCTTCTGAGGATGCTGTCCTCTTTTCGGGTTAAGCCCGTGAATGACTTTAATGGTAGACATTTCAAGTTAATGAGGGGAGATGTTTTGGGTAAGGAGGCCTTTCAGCCCCCTCACCACTGTGTTGTAGATACCTGTTTCTACAAAAAGCTACAAAAAAGTTACCATGATGACAGTCACCAAATCGGTTCCAGAGGGACATAGAAACTTAATATTTGTTGAATGAACAAATAAACAGATGTTCTAACAATATCTTTGAGGATACTATCCAATTCATGTTAATGCAAGGGGATGATCCAGAGTAGCAGATAATCCGGAAGTCATTTCTGTTTGTTTTTGGTGTGTGCCAAGTGGTTTTAGGACAACTATAGATTTACACTCAGTTCTATTGTACTCAGGCTTAGATCAGCAATTTCTTTGCGCACACATCAAAGAAAGAGGTATGTGTGTGTTGGGGAGAGGAAAACGAGAAAGCATATAAGGAGACCAGCATGGGACTGGAAATTTCAGGAGTTCCATGTATGGTCATGTGCCAACAACAAAAACACCTTGATCTTCTCTACCTTCTAAAACCTATTTAGTTTACTAGTACACAAAGAAATCAACGGGGAGCTCATCTTGGGGAAACTTCTAAAACAGGATGGGACATGAAGTGAGACATTTATTCTCCCTAGCCCTCCCCACCCACCATCCCACTGTTTCCCTCTAAGTATCCCCATGGCAAACTTAAGGCTAGGTGTCAGTCAGATTACAGTCTTATCTTTGATGACCCAAGGCTGTTGGGGTAGTAGGCAGATGTCTGTGTCTACTTCTCTCAAGGAGGAAATGCAGCCTATGCTCTGTCAAAGCCCTTCCTGACTGGTGACTTCAGAGGTCCTATCAGAGGAACCTGGAGCATCCTGCCTCTGCCTGTTTTTAAAAACAGTACCACCGAGCATAGAAAGTAACTGGTGCTTTCCATGTACTGAACAAGGCTTTCCCCACTTTGGAGTGGTGGAGACTTCTCTTTCCAAGTGCCTTGCCCCAATAGAATATTAATTCCTTGAAGGCAAGAATTGTTTTGTTTTTTTTTTTATCATTGTATCTCCAGCACTTAGCATAGTGTTTTGCATATAGTAGGTCCTTAATAAATTCTTGTTGGGTTGGACTGATTTGGATTGGGATTCCTGGGCCTATGGGTGGATTATATCCTTAAATGCTTTTATTCTCAGCATTTAGTCTCCTCTCCTGCCACTTAGCACCATAGTTATTTTAAAGTTAGCCATTTTCAGAAGCAAACTCTGGGATGCATCTTAAGAGGCCTCATATCTCAGGATTAGTTCCTACTTCCGCATGACTGTGGCCAGGCTGACCATACCTCCTGCGGAAACCCACCCACCTGCCTCAGCCCCATCTGGTGTTACAGTGACATTTCCTAAGAACGGGCTACCTTGCCTAGGATAAAATTACTTGGTGAATCTTGTCTTTGGTACCCTCCCCTTCTTAGCTTTCTCTGCCCACTCCTGGCACTGTTGCATCCTCCCCTGGCACTCATTCGATATGTCCACTAAAGGGCATTGCTCTCAGTTGTCAACAAATCCTAACTTCTCCATACCCCAAACCCTTCCACAAGGTGTTAATAGGCAGCATGGCATCACCCAGTCTGAGGACCATTTTCATTTTGATAAGGAATTCTAGCAAAGTAAAAAGCCACCCATAACCTAGATCTTTAATAGTGGAATTTCTGGCACCATGACAGTGCCTGAAGATACATGATACATATGATTATATCTATCTATACACATATACACACACACATACATATATATACACCTTAACATACATAGCTACATAAGCATATATTATATACATGTGTGTATGTGTGTATATATATATATACACATATATGTGTATATATGTATGTATGTATACAGCTAGGTGACACAGTAGATAGAGTGCTGGGCCTGGAGTCAGGAAGATTCATCTTCCTGAGTTCAAATCTGGCCTTAGACACTAGCTGTGTGACCCTGGGTAAGTCATTTAATCTTGTTTGCCTCAATTCCTCGTCTGTAAAATGAGCTGGAAAAGTGGAAAACCACTCCACTATCTTTGCCAGGAGAACACAGATGAGATCACAAAGGGTCGGGCATGACAGAAAATAACTGAACAGAATATAGATGTAGATATATAGAGAGAGACACATGAGGACATTGAGACCCTAGCTGACAGCCTCCGACTCTTAAGGGGGCTCTGACCGAGAGGAGCTATCTTTGTAGTAATCACTGTGTTTACGCACTGAGTCATCTCCCCTCTCTTCTGTGTTTGCCCCTACAGGTGCACATGTACACACACAGACATACACATACACATGCATGCATGCATGCACACACAAAACAGAAAATAGAGCAAGAAATTTAAGAAAGACTTTTTTCACAGGACTCTGGGGAGGAGTACCAATAGCCCTGTCCCTTAGTCCAATTGAAAGAGCATTTGATCCAACTCTCCCCTCCCTACCAGCTTCAAGTACCCTATCCAGGCTGTTTATTGAGGCCAGTTACGGTTTGAATTTATAGCTGAGTGGTAAGATTGTAGAGGCACCAGAATGGTGCAGGGTAGTTCAATGGAAGGAATTTTAAACTTGGGATGAGGAGACTTGAGTTTGATTCCCAGCACAGAAACTAGGTAGTAATGCTACTCAGAGTAAGTCACTTGATTAGGAATCAAACTCAGGTCTCGAGTCAAAGTTCTGAGCTTCTCCCAGCTTCAGTTTCTTCATCTAATAATAGGAAATTTTTGTGTTACCTACTTTGCAGGGATGTTGTGAGGAAAGAATTTTTAGAATCAAAGCACAATAGACATGCAAGTTTTCATCATCATCATCATCATTGCTGTGGGTCAACAGTCATCTCTAGGCCTGAATTTTCCTATTTCTGAAATAAGAGGAATGGAATAGATGATTAACAAAAATTTATTAAGCCTCTACTATATGCCAGGCATTGTGCTAGGACCTGGGAGTACAAATACATGGCCTCCCCTCAAGGAGCTTACATTCTAACGGGGAGGCAAGATCTCTAAAGTCTAAATATTCTTAGGTTCTACGATATGAGATGGACAGAGCCAGACCACAGGAATGATACCCCTATGTACATACTTTCGTGGTAGAGTCAGGGTAGGTAATGAATTAGATTGGTGGGTTCTGGAGGTCAGTTTGCTCCTGAGCAGGTTGAGTGGGGGCCTCTCCACCCTCGGCCCCTGCGGGGAAGACGACGGTCGCATATGTCACAGGCTTAGAGCTGAAATGGACCTGGGGTTCCGATTTAGTTGGGGGAGGTGGAGGTGGTGGCTTTCCTGTTGGGGGACCTAAAGGCGGGTTGGTGTAGGTAGTGTCATCTAAGGAGGGTGGGGTCTCCAGTTTGACATAAGGCATACTTGATGGCTCTTCAGCAGATGTCCTGCTATCCTGCAATGGAAGTAGAAAAATCATGCAGTCTTTCACCTATCCCACAAGAGGGAGCGAAAGGGGATGCCATGACTGATCAGTCTTGAAAATACAGCCAGGAGTACCTCTTGTCCCTCTTGATCAATCAAATCACACATTACCCCTTCCAAATCTTGGGAAATAGAGAGGATGTAGTCTTTTTTTGTTTGGGGGGGCAGGCAAGGTGCATAAGGGCTGCCTCTGGGTAGAAGTGAACAGGAGCAGAGCAAGTAACAGTCATTGCCCAGGCCTGTGCAATCGGGTGAATCTCAGGTCCCTTCTTCACCCTCCTGGCTCCTGGTTTCACTCGGTAATAGGGCCATAGGGAGAAGTAGTGCTGTGGCCACAGAGGGGCCTCTTACCAAGGCTGATGCTTCATTGCTTTGGGATCGCCCACAAATGTCCAGCTTGCACCCTGGCAGGACAGATGATAACATGTTTTTCTCTTGGCCCTGGACCATTAACCCTTCAGATCTACTTACCCCACATAAACTCCTTCCCCAAGCCTGTACCATTGACTACCCCCAATCTTCTTTTTCCCAGCCCCTCCCCAGTTTTCTTCAGATCCACTCACCCTTCTCCTTCAACCCTCTTACAGCCCCTCTTCCACCCCCCACCTATACCCCTACAACTTTCCCTACTTCACTTGCTGGCCCACCCTCAGCCCTATCACCACCCTCTCCCAAATCCCCCCCCCCAACCAAGTCATGTACATTGTAGGGTTGAGGACATAAAGAAAAAGCCCAGTTCGGCAGCTTTCTGATGTGATGGAGGGGAGCAATGGCCTACCCAGAGGCCTGGTCTGTATTTGTCTGGGGAAGATAACTAATGAATGCTACAATGGTAAAGTCAGAATGAAATAGAGAAATGGGGCAGTCACTTACCCATCCTTCCAACGATCACAGCCAGTACCACAGCAGCCACAAGTAGCAGGCTCAGGAGGAGCACAGAACCCCAGACCAAGGGAATGCTGAAGGACAAGAATGTGGTGAGCTCAGCCTTTGAGCCTAAAGAGGGAAGAGATGGGCTTGGGGAAGTTCTCTAGGACTGTAGGGGAGTCTTCAGAGGGCTCTTAGTGGTAGCTTAGAACTCAACAAAGAAATGGGTAAGAAGGAAGACTGTGCCTTGGGTTGTTCTCAGGATCTCCAGGCTGCTTCTACTTTACAGCCCCTGTGTTCTTTGCAGTCCAATGACATTGGCCTCTTCTCTTTCTCAAACAAGAAGCTCCATCTCCTGACTCCTGACATTTTCTCTGCCTGTCCCCTATGCCTGGAATGTTCTTCTCACCTTCCCTAGTTTTTTTCAAGTCCCACCTAAAATCCCACCTTCTATAGGAAGCCTTTCCTCACCCCCCTTTAATTCTAGTGTCTTCTTTCTGTTGATTATCTCCAGTTTATTCTGTATGTAGCATTTTTGTACATAGTCATTTGCATGTTGTGTTCCCTGTTAGACTCCTTGAGAACAAGGACAATCTTATGCCTTTTTTTTTATTCCCAGCACTTAGCTCAGAGCCTGGCACATAGTAGGTGCTTTATCAATGTTTCTTGACAGAATTATTAACTTCATCTTCACTTCCCTGTATTAATTAGTCAACTGGGAGAAAGGACGTCTGCCTCAGTCTGGTCCACCAGATTTAGCCCTGAGGAGAGAACAATGTCTCTTTTTTGGTTTTATTTGGTCCTTAGGGGACAAGGGACATAGTCATTGGATGACTCAGCCCTTCCACACCTTCTACCACCCCTGTGTTTTAGCAAACTTTGCTGCCTGGGCACCAGCTCAGTTCTAGTATTGGATCAGATATCAGATCTACTATCAGATCCAGATAGTCTGAACATTTTTTAGCTAGACACCTAAAATTTAACTTGTCCAAAACTGAACTCAGTATTTTTCTACTCACCAAGCCACCACTGAATTCAAGGTTCACCCCCCCCACCTTTTGTTTAGACTATTATAATCAGTGGTTTGCTGGTAAATATTTAACAGTTAGCTCTCAAGAAAGAAAAATAGTTGCAAAAAGCAAGACTTTTAATTTTAATTTGCATTATAACATTTTCTCCGTCACTTTCTTAAGTCTAGACAACCAACAAAACAATAAATCACCCCATGATTTGTAGCATTTGCTGATTTCTGACGCGCAGATGCTCACACTGGAAATGTAATCATTGGTTCTCTCTACAGCCCATATGCGCTGGCTCCAGCATACCTCTGATTGTGACAGCTCCCTGCTTCACATCTCTTAGCACGACACATCACCCCACATACAGCTGCTAAAGTGAGTTTTTCTTAGGAGCAGATCTAACCATATCACTCCCCTACTCAATCCCAGTGATTCACTAACTCTTGGTTCCATGATAAAACATATACTTCTCTTTTAAAGCTTGTCACAACCTGGCCCCCACCTAGCTTTCCAACCTCATTATATATTACTTATTCTATATTACTAGAGTAGGTAGCTAAGTGGTATAGTGAGAGAAGCAAGAAGACCTGAGTTCAAATCCAGCCTCAGACAATTACTAACAATTCTCTGAGGAAGTCATTTAACCTCTGCATGCCTCAGTTTCCTCTTCAGTAAAATGGGGATAATAATGGCACCTACCTCACAGTGTTGTTGTGAGCAAATGTGGTTATACTTGTAAAGTACCTGGCACATAGTAGGAAGTTATTATTATTATTATTATTATGCTAGTTCATTATTATTACTATTATAAATTACTTCCCTTTCCATACTTTGCTGTTCAGCCCAATTGACTTTATCTGTTTGTCACACCCATTACTCCATCCCTCCTCTCTCTGTACCTTTCTTTATAGGCTGTCTCCTATGCCTGGAATGCACTCCTTCTTTACCTTTGCCTTACAGACTCCCTCCGTTCAGGATGTGCTTAACCATCACCTTCTATAGGAAGCCTTTCTTGATCTCCCTCCCCCACCCTCAATCCCTGCCCCTGGTTAGTGCACTGTCTCCTCAACTACCTTATATTTAACTATCTTGTATTAATTCTGTCCATACTTATGTATATATGTAATAGGATAGAATAGAATCTACCCTCCAATAGAATGTAAGCTCCTTGAGGGTAGGGCTAGTCTCATTCTCTGTCTTTGCATCCCCAGCATCTAGCCTGGCACACAATAGTCAATGTAATAAATGATTGTTAATTGATTTGATTGATCTAGTACCTCCAGTCTTCTCGGTTGGGCTCCACGGGGCTGAAGCTTGGGCTGACTGCAGGATGTTCCACGGGAGCAAAAGTCAAAGTTTCTCCCAAATAGTCTTCCTTGTCCTCCTTATCCTGCCTTGACTCTGAAGCGACATACAACGCCCCCCCCCCCCGCCAAAAAAAGAGGAACTCGGTTAGCTAGTTAGAAACATTCATTGAGTACATGTAGGACCATACAACCTGAACAATGGTGGCGAGATGGGGAGGTAGTAAATGGGAACATGGGGAATTCAGAATTGAGGAGGTAGTAGGGTTTAAGGCTGGAAGGTACAGAGCTATAAACAAGCAAGTTTTGTGCCTGAGGTGAGATGTAGGAAACATTTTCAAAATGTCTTTTTAAGACAAGTAGTTAGGAAGAGATGCTGGTATTTAAGCCTCCATAGGCTGCTGGGGATACCTACCTCAGACTACTGTGGAGGACAGGATAGGGATGGGGGTGATGGGCAGAGTTGAGCTATGGTGAAGCTGAAACTCAAAATCTTCTGTGTTCCTATTTTAACCCATTCTGTTAACTAAATGCTAAGCTCAGTTGATTGTGTGTTACTGGTAGACTGCAAAATGATGTCTAAGTATTCTAAATTATCATACCCTAGGAAAAATCTCCAGTTGCCCTACCCCAGGTATGACTATGAGAAAATGGAGAAGATGGTAAGGACAGAGGTGGGCAGGTGGAAAGATGGTAAATCCAGATTTGGGGAAGCTGGAACAGCAGGTGGGGATAGCTTGAGCAGGGCTGTATTATCCATAGATGTGTCTGATGAAAACAAAAAACCTATGAAAAAAATATTACCGTTTACATTTTTGTTGAATAAAAACTGCACACAAGGTCTATTACTGAATATAACAAAGCTCTTTTATTGAGTGTGTGTGTGTGTGTATGTTTGTGTAGGAGGGAGAGAAGAGGTGGTCCAGACCTGTGATTTCAGTGGGGTCCTAAATTCCTAATAAGGAAATTCCTCCTACCCATACAGATCAGCAAATATTCTGTAACTTATGGACTTAGAGGCAACTCTGTGTTGATACACATAAATGTATATATACATGAATGTATGCATATACTCATATATATAGTATATAAATATGCACATATGTATATGTGTATATATATTTATATGTATATGTATATATATTTTATATATGTATATACACACATATACACACACACATACATATCTGTATAGCTCTCTATACCTACATTAGTAAAACCAGTTGTCTGACTGGGAATTCTCTTTATCGAAATACTCATAAGTCTGGACACTTACACCAATACATGCACACACATTCCTTAGACAAAACATAGATTTAAACTTTGTGTCAGACTTGCAATTTCTTGGTGTAGGAAACTCTTGGTCAGGAAATCCCTTCCACCAATAGAGATCTGCAGCTGCCTGCAACTTAACAGCCTTAAAAAGTTACCTGGGACACAGAGGTAAGTGACTTTCCCAGGGTTACACAGTCAGGATGTGTCCAAGGTGGAACTTGACCATAGTTCTTTTAACTCTGAGACTAGTTCTCTGTTCACTATGTCATGCTAACTCTGTGTGTGTGTGTGTGTGTGTGTGTGTGTATGTATGTGGATAGATAGAAATATATAGACATACAGGTACATCTGTACATATATCTATGTGTCTCTATATATGTATATACGTATATACACACATCAAGGAGAGATACGATACCCAAAGGATTTAAAAATACATCAATCAAAGGTCAGCTCCATCTCTCCTCCACATATAGGAAGTTAATTGAGGCTACCCTGTGTTGCTCTTCCTCATTTCTCCCATCCCTCCATTCCCCTGCACCATAGAGGTTGGATACATTATGTTATTGTTGGTGCAGTAAGAAAAGTATTGGATTAGGAGTCAGAGCAAACTCCTTTGCCGCTTACTTCTGCCTCAGTTTCCTTATTTGTAAAATAAGGAGTTGTACTTCAGGCTCTATGATTCTCACCCATAGTCTTGCTATCTCTTTCCATAGTCAAAAAAGAAACTGTGAGCTCTGGCAGGGGAGGGGAGCAGTGTCCTGAGCAGACTGAGGCACCAAACTGTAGAATATTAAGGAAGAGGGATGGATATGGCAAGAATGGAAATGAGGTAAGTTTATGCCAATGAAATAATTGTACAATAAGAGAAGCCTAGAATGCTCAAACTGTCAGAAACCTTAGACATCACCTCCACCTAACTTCTTTATTTTACAGATGAAAAAACCAAGACTCAGAGAAAAGGAAATGCTTTGCTCTCCTGGTCATGTTTATTTTAGTAGCAGCTAGATGGCTCAATGGATAGAGTGCTGGGCCTAGAGTAGGAAGACCTGAATTCAAATCTGGCCTCAGATACTTAATAGTTGTGTGACCCTGGGCAAGTCACTTAACTATGTTTGGCTTAGTCCACTGGAGAAGAAAATGGCAAAACACTCTAGTATCCTTGTGTAGAAAACCCCAGGGACAGTATAGTCGATGAAGTCATGAAGAGTTGGACACAACTGAACAACACATTTGTTTTATTTCTAAGACATTTTAAAAAATACGAGAACCCTCCCCATTCCCATGGCATAAATTCTAGATATCTCTGTGACTAAATACCATGTACCAAGTTCTACAAAGAGCTGCCTACTTTCTCTCCAAACTTCCTCTTCAACAATATCTCAGCTCTTAGAATAATAGATTTAGAGCTGTAAGATACCTCAGAGGCTGAGTGCTAGCTGAATCCCTTCGTTTTATATGTGAGGAAACTGAGGTTAGGGTGGTTAAGGTGACAAGATTTCAATCCAGGTCCTCTGACACTCAAACCATTGCCATTTTCAGCATACCACACTGTCTTTTTAGGGTGCTAGCCTTAACTGGGTGCTAATAATCTGAATATTTCTCTCTTCCCTTTTAGCAAAGAAGGCTCAACAGCAAAGAAGACTTGAAAAACCTAGAAAAACATTAATATAAGTGGAAGTCATTCTGACTTTTTTTTTCCCCTTCTAATCCTAAAGTTTCCAGAAACCTGTTTCTTGATCTCCACCTTTAGGGCTCCTGCACCCATAATCCCAGCTCTGTCCCCCAGGATCCCAAATTCCATTCATCTCCAATCCTATGAAACATACCACATTTGTCTCCACTCTACACTGCCCCCTGCTCCTGAGAATGGAGCCTGAGAAACAGCAGCCTAACCTCCAGACCCCACCCACCTAGTTCTTGACCCACCTTGATTCCACCATAAAAATATATGTGTGATTTCAATATTTCCTGACTACAGGAGGAACACTTCTTTGTTGTTGTTCACTTGTTTCAGTTGTGTCTGACTTTTCATGACCCCATTTAGGGTTTTCTTGGTAGAGATACTGGAGTGGTTTGCCATTTCCTTCTCCAGATCATTTTACAGATGATAAGACTGAGGCAAACAGAGTTAAGTGACTTTTCCAGGTTACATAGCTAGTAAGTGTCTGAGGCTGGATTTGAACTCAGGTCCTTCTGACTCCAGGTATGGTACTCTATCCACTGTGCCACCTAGCTGCCCCAATGCCAATTTACTGAAAATCATTTAAGGATTTACCAATTCAGTATTTTTTCAGCTTCTGAATTCATCACGACTTGTGTATACACATAGTTCCTATACACATACACATAAATTCATTTCTAAAAGATGTAACTGTACATTTTAAACAAAAAAAAAAACGATTAAAACTAGTATCTCAAATTTGGTCCTAGAGATGAGTTGAGAAAATTCATATTCCTCCTTCCTCTTCAGAGGTGAGTAACTATAGGTGTGGAGTATTGAATATACGGTCAGACATGGCTAATGTGGGTTGATTTTACAGAATTGTGCTATTTATCTTTATTTCCTTTTTCATAAGAAATTGCTCCCTGGCTAGCAGATGGGATAGAAGTATATTTAGAGGTGAGGGAGATGTAGAAACAAAAGATATCAATAAAATGAGGTCCAATCTTTATCCCTTAATATCAATAAAAATGAGAGGACCTATGGTTTCATTGGAATAGGGAACTTCCTCTACCAATGCAGGGAGAGGAATTTAATTCCTTAACCTCTATTTATCTCAGTTTCTTCAACTATAAAATGGATATAATAACTGCACCTAACTCTCTGAGTTGTTGTGAAGATCATCTGGGATTATATTTGTAAAACACTTTGCACAGTGCCTGGCCCATGGTAGTCACTACATAAATGTTTGTTCCTTCCCCTTATAGTTTTAGAAAGGTGACTAGAACAAATAGAAATGGGGACCATTAATCCATACATAAGGATTCCTTTGGGCAGCATATTGACTTCATTTTGAAATTCAATATTATCTATTTTTTTTACTGTATTTTTATTTATTTTCTTAAATACTTCCCAATTATGTTTTGAAATGGTTTGGGTGGCATTCCTGCAGCCAACATGTTTGACATCTCTGGCCTAGAGCACTGAGAGATTTGACTTGCCCAAGGTCATTCAGTCAGCAACTCCCAGAGGTAAGACTTGAACTTAGTTTTTCCTGACTTCAAGGACAGTTCTCTGTCAACTACACTAAGCCACCTAAGAATTTTTTAAAAAATAAACTAGGGTCTCAGTTAGAAAGGCCCTTGGAGGTCATCAAATCCAACCCTACATCTCTTTTTTTGCACATAAGGAAACTGGAGCCTTAAAAATAAAATAATTTCAAAGTCACATAAGCAGTAAATGGCAGAGTAAGGATTTAAACCCAAGTCATCTAACTCCAGATAGGTGCTCAATATACTACATGCTTTTTAAAAATAATTACTTAATTTAAAAAGAAAAGTCATCCTATGTTGAAAATATTGACTGAATAGAAGAAGGATGTGAAGGGGGCAGGGTGGGGAGGAAAGCTCATTCTCTTGTGTTCAGATGACTGGGAACCCAGCTAGAAGTCAGGAATGGAAGGGCCATCATCAGGAGATAGACAAGTTATCTTGGCCTCACCACCCAGAGTGACTTCCTCCCCCTGGAGAGACAGGAAAGGTTATTATCGTCTTCTTCCCATGGCTTGCCATTGGGAGGCACCCTCGGAGAAGGACTTTGCTGGTATCCAAGAGTCCTGGTTACTGAGCTAAAGGTTTCCACATGACACTCACCTGGAGGGGATACTTTCAGAATGAACATGGCCAGGGTCCGGAGCCCTGTGGTTGTCTCCACCATGCAGCCGTATTCACCAGCATCCTCCAGCTGCACCTCATCCATCACCACTTCGAGTACGCCCTCACCCAGGTCGGTGAGGTGGACCCTTTCACTGCCTGGGGTTCTCCTGTCCACAACTGAGGTGACAAGGGGTTGGCATTCTGTGGACAAGAATCGACACCACACCTTCCGGGCCCGAGCATCCTCTTCGTCATAGTGGCACAGCAGGGAGATTGAATCACCGGCAATGGTTTGCAGTATTTCGGGAGCACCTTTGACAATGCAACCTGGAGAAGAAAGAAGCCATAGCATGGCAGGTGGTGCACCTTGCATGAGTAGCTGGTACCTACAGGCATGACAGTAATAGGGGAATACAAGGCTGGTCTCTCCTTCCTTTCTGACTTAAGGATATTGGATGGACCTTAAAGATATCTAAGGCAAGAGTTATGTGTGTGTGATCCTTTTTTAAAATAGTTTTTTTAAATGCATAAAATAAAATATGCAGTATTGCAAAAGAAAACAATTATATTAAATGAAGAAAATTTTTTTTCCATCCAACTTCGTGGTCCCCCTGATATCTGCTTCATAGACCCCAGGTTAAGAACCCCTGATCTAAGGGGACAAAAGGGAGGAGAGGACTGTCTAGGGCATCAGTGCCAAGCAGCCCCATGGGGGTGTCTGAGTGCTCAGGACCCCTTCACCAGCCCTCTTCAGACCTTACCTGTCATACCCAGGAGAAAAAGCAAGAGTAGGGTGAAACCCATAGTGGGATAAGCCAGAGGTTCCGCCGTCCAGGGAGCAGACTGAGCTCAGAGACTCAGTCCAGAGAATGATAGAGGGCCTTCCCAGATGCAGGAAATGCTTTCTCAGGGCACAGTCACATGGGTCTCCTAGTGACCAAAGTAGTGGCAGCTCGGTAGAAGAAGACAAAGAGGGGGAAGAGGCAGGAGGCTGATAGGCACTTCCATTGAGTTGAAGTGGCAGGAGCGGAGAAGGTGCCATATTGAATCAATTTGCCAACTCTCATCAATTCTACCTCCACAACATTTCTGAGACTGTACTAGTTCAGGCCTTCATCACCTTCCACCCGGACTATTGCATTAGCCTCCAGCTGGTCTCTCTGTTTCTAGTATCTCCAATTCATTCTATCACATTGGTATTCCTAAAGCACAAGTCTGACCATGTTGCTGCCCTACTCAAGAAGCCCCAGTGGCTCCCTATTGTTTCTAGGATCAAATGCAAATGACTTCCACTTGGTGTTCAAAGCTCTTCACAATCTACCTCTAGTCCACTACCTTTCTAGGCTCATCGATCACACGTCCCTCTCCTTCATTCCATGTTCCAGCCACATTGGCCCAATTTTTCTTCCTATACTGTATCATGTTTCATTTCCCCCTTGGTGACTTTGCATATTCCTTGGCAGGAATGCTCTTTCCTCACCTCTGCCTCTTGGAGCTGCTATCACCCTTCAAAATTCTGTCCAAGTTCCACCCCCTCCATAAGATCTTCTTGATTTCCCCAGTTATTACTAGTTCTCAAACTCCATCTTATAATTACTTGTCTGTGTATCTGCTGTAGCATTCTCCCCACAGAGACATGGAAGCTACTTGAGAACTCCAGAATGCCTTGCCTCTGTCTTTGTACCTCCAAAGCCCAGCATGGTGACTGGAGCATAGTGTATAACTAATAAAAGCTTTTTGGTCCATTGAGAGCTCTTCTAAGTCCAGGTCTTTCTGACATGATGAAAGAATCCTAAAATATCAGAGTTAAGACTCTTAGAGATTATCTGATGCAACCCCTCCTTCAGTTCCACCCCCCCCCCACCTCAGAGAGAGGAAAATTGGTCCCTTTGGCCACTTCAGTAAGTTACTGGCAAAGCTGGGATGAGAACCCAGATTTTCTGACACCCCCCTACCTCCATTTTAGTATTCTTTTCACTATTGCCGAGATATGGGGAATAGGGACTCCAGGAAATCTTGGCACACTATAGGACTGGATCCTCACCAAGTAAGTGAAGGGAGGCTAGTGGCAACTTGAGAAAAGGGAAAGAGGAAAACAGGCTCTTTGGAGTCTTAGAACCATAGACTTCTAGAATATCAGTGCTCAGAGATCCCTTAGGGACCACAAACAATCTCTTCATATTACAAATGATGAAACTTTCACGAGGAAAGGGGATGTCAGTTGTCCTCATCACAGAAAGTAGTTAGAGTCAGCTAAGTGGTGCAGTGGGTAGAGCTGCAGGCCTGGAGTTAGGAAGGCCTGAGTTCAAATCTAACCTCAAACATCTAATACTACCAGTTGTTGTTGTTGTTCAGTTGTGTCAGACTCTTCATGACCCCATTTGAGGTTTTCTTGGCAAGGTTACTAGAGTGGTTTGCCATTTCCTTCTCCAGATTATTTTACAGATGAGGAAACTGAGGCAAGAAGAGGTTAGTGACTTGCCCAGGGTCACATAGCTAGTACATGTCTGAGGCTAGATTTGAACTCAGGTCTTCCTGACTTCAGGCCCAGCGCTCTACCCACTGCACCACCTAACTGCTCCTGTACTACCACTAGATAACATTTATATAGCACCTACTATGTGCCAGGCACTGTGCTAAGTGCTTTACATACTATCTCATTTGATCCTCACAACAACCCTGAAAAATAGCTACTATTATTATCCCCATTTAACAGATGAAGATAAAGAAACTGAGTCAGACAGAGGTTAAGTGACTTGCCCAAGGTCACATAGCTATTAAGTATCTGAGGCCAGATTTGAACTTATATTTTCCTGACTCTAGGCCAGGTGCTTTACCCTCTACATCACTTAGCTGCCTATTTGCAACTGAAACCTAGGTTTCCTTACTCTTAGTACAAAGTCTTTCCACTGTATCACATTGCCTCTCAAAGTTAAATTCACTTATGTGTTTTTAGGCCAAACTGGACTCAGTTTTGCTGCATTTTTGTAAATGGCCTAATGAGATTCCTCACAGAGTAGTAAAGTAGAATTACTGGAGCCCAGAGAGGGGAAACTGAGGTTTTGCTCCAGGGTACCAAAATCTAAGACTGGGGAAAAGTGTACTTTCTCCCTCTAGAGTCCTCTGGCCTGTCATCTTTGAGCCTCTTATGGACCGCTGACTGTCCTGCTCTCTTAGAATCCCACTGCCATGTTGTTCCCCTCTCACCAGCTCTCAACTCCTGGTGCCTCCAGAAGTTGTTGACTTTGATGTTGGGGAACAAGCTGGACTCTTTGCAAAGTGAACCACGCTTGACCTTTCCTTGAAGAAGATCGATCTGTGGGTCAATGAAAGTGAAGGTCAGTATTCTAGCCAAAGCCTTCCTACATATTAGATGAATATTCTATAGCTCAGCCCTGCCCTGCTATAGTCCCTGGCATCGTTGCCCTCCTGTGTAGATGTCTTCCTCTCCTCCACAACACCAGAGTTCCTAAATGATGACAGATTTCCCACTCTACACAACACAGTGTGATGAGATTAATGACTTCCCTATGAAGGATATGAGTTAGGAGGATTACAAGGGGTCTAGGCTTTGGTCTTGGTCATTGGTGTAGAAAGTAGGACTGTTCACCTAACCACTTCTTCAGGATAATAGGAGTTATGGGATTAGGGATCAGGTAGTATGAGTTTCTATTCACAGAACGCATAGTAGTAGGAAGGAGCAGTGATGGCCTTAATGATAATCCCCTTAATAAAAGGATTTGTTCTGTGAAGTTTGGATTCAGTCAAAGGGCCGCATTTGAGGACCTATGTGGCCTTGAGGCTGCAGGTTCCCCACCCCTAGAAGTCCTTAGACATTCCATCCTATGGCCTGGCTTTCCTTTCGTACATTTATGTCCATCAAGGAGTTTCCTTTACAAATTGGAAAGTGAGATGGAATATTTGCTTTATGGTTCTACCAGTAAGCCAGTTTCACTAGAATTTAAAGGATGTAAAGAGTATTGTGAGACTTCTGTTAAGAGGGATGAGTGAGTGGTTATGCCTTGGCCCAGCTTCACATCATCAGCTCAAAAGAATAAGAAACGTGCCAATGTCAAAGAACAAGAAAAAAGAAAGAGAGGAAAGGAAAAAAAATTCTTCCAAAGAAAATTTCCCTGAAAAAAAAAATAGTTGAGACTAAAGAAATCAGTAATCATAAAAGAGGCCACAGTAGAAAAATGGGATAAATGAAATCAAGGAGAAATCTCTAGGAATAATGCTGTAATAATAAGTTCTCATATAATCATAGAAATGCAGATGAAGACAACCTTAATTCACCACCTTGTAACCACTGGAATGACAAAAATAGAAAAAAAAAAGATAAAAGATAAAATCCAGTGTTGTCAGTTGTGGGAAAACAGATACTCTAATACATTATTCATGAAACTGTAGACTAGTAGAAATATTCTGGAGAAAAATGTGATAATATTCAATAAAATATAAAAATGGATCATACCTTTTGATGTAGGGATTCTCATGCTGGGACTTCATTACTGTTGTGTGTTTTTAAACTAAATGAATATTTAAAAATGAACAAACATTTTACTATTAAGTTCCTAAAAAGACTTATCTGCTTTTATTGTCTCTGCTTCATCAACACTCAATTACTTCTCCCCACTATAATGAGGCCTCTGACCCACCACTGTATCCCTACTGCTTTCTCAAACCTTTTCTTAACTACTAAATTCATGTCTTTTCCAAGTCTTCTTTGCAGTTTTTGACACTTTTGACTACTACCTCTCTTTCTAGACACTATACCCTTTCTTGAGTTCCTTGACACTGTTTTCTTCTGGTTTTTCTACCTTCATGATCTTACCTTTTAAAAACAAATTCTAAATTTAGTGAACACAACAAAGACCATTTCCATATACAAAGTAGAATATAAAAAGGATTGTAAATGAAATGATGAGTCTCTATTATATGTTGTTTCCTTTTTAAATAAATTCAATATGTTCCTTCAGAGCTGTCCCACTTGCCTGTGTTTCCTTCTCAATATCTGTTCTCTTCTATGCATTTTTTTAAAAAAATGCTTCAATGATTTCCTTTTCTTTGTTTTCTCCTTTTTGGGGGATGGAGGTGGTGGCAAGGCATAATTAGCTTTCCATCCAAACCTCCTACCACAAATAATAAAAAAAAGAAAACACAATTCTTTCAGCAAATAAATGTAGTCAAGCAAAATAAATCCATACATTTTCAATGTCCTAAAATGTATGTCTCATTATGCATCTTGATTCCATTACTCCTCTGTCAGAAAATGGATAACATGTTTCATCATCAGCCTTCTGGAGTCATGTTTGCTGACCCCACCTTTATAGTCTCTTTTGCTCCTCTATTGTTCATATCATGTCCCCTAAGCATGCTTATCCTTTTAGACTCTGTCCTGTGTTCTTACCTCTTCTTTCTCTACTCTCTTTCCTTTGAGAGCCTATTGGACATTTCAAGCTAGATGCCCTGGAGATATCTTAAATTTAACATTGTCCATGAATGAACTCATTTTCTCCATGCCCCCCTGCTCCCCAACCCACTGTTCTTCCAAACTTCCTTATTTCTGTCAAGGCACCACTTTTCTTCTAGTATCCAGGTTCCTAACATTAGCATTATTCTTGACTCTTCACTTTTCCTTTTCCCATATATGCAATCAATTGTCAAATATTGCTGTTTTTACCTCCACATTCCTTGAATGCAATTCCTTCTCGCTCTTCACACAGTCACCACTTTGGGTTCAGACCCTCCTTCATCTCTTCCCTAGGTTATGGCTTCCATTGCTTTCTAATTTGTCTCCCTGCTTTGAGTCTTTTCCCTTTTCAGTTCATTCTCTACACAGCTGCCAAAATGATTGTCCTGAAGTACAGATCTG